CCGTGCAGTCCAATTGTTAACTTTGACTTGAGGACAACGATGTCGTTGATTTTTATTAAATTTTGTCTAAGAATGTACAACAAGTGTGGGAGAGCCATGCTTTGGCACGAATGGGCTGGCTCGACCGGAGTGATACCACGGCCTCACAGAAAACCGACGTGAAGCAACGCTTGCGTTGTGTTTCGTCGTGTGAGTGAGGTTACCGGAGGCCCAATTACCTTCCCCTTCCCCAATCTCCCCAATCCCTGAATCCCCAACGATCCTCAAACTCCTAATCCCCAAAAAGCCGGTGACGCACTTGTAACGCCTCTGGTGTTCTAGGTGTCCATGGGCGACGCCGATTGCTTACCATCAGGTGATCCGTCTGCTCGTTTACCGGCTTATATATTCCATAAAAAAAAAAAAAATAAGAAGTCTTCAAAGTTTGTATAGATCAGCCATCTATCTATTGTTATTTTCACACCCATTCTACCTCTACACTTCGCAATCTACACAAAACATACTACGAAGTGTTTATTCGCGTTCCCCATTAAAGACTGCGACAACTTAACACTCACTAGAGAAAGCCATAACATTCTAGCTTTATACCTGTGACAAGCTAACACATAACAGAAACGTTAATATTTGGCTTGTTCGTAAACTGTGGGCATAAACTTACTAGCCTATAATATAATCAACTAAAGAGACTTCTACTGACGTTTGGGTAATGAGTTGTTAGGAATGTTTATTATTATATGATAGTAGCGTCTACTAGCGGCTTCTCTTGCATTCTTGTGATAGAATAAGGCCAAGAATAAGCCTATGTACTTTTCCAGACCATAATCCACACATATTCCAAATTAAAAAAAAAACAGTAGTACCTACTTTGCTCGACGCGGGAATCGAAACCGAGACCCTTGACCAGCAGTCGCGCTAAATGAAAGACTGTAATATCCTAAATAACTAACTAGATATTTAAGCAAGCTTAGATTCCATACAGTAATATTATACGACCAAAATAGCCAATGATGACACCGAACACCCAACTCAATGAAGACTACAACTGGCCAAAAAAAGATCGAAGATATAACCAAACTTGAACCAATAAATGGATCCAATATTGGTACTAATATTGCAATATAATACGCACGAATCGCTACGATGGGCCTCCCGCAGTCGGATACGGTGCGTGATGTCGTATCACACAAGATTGCTAACTACGCCCTGCGGAGGTACTGTAAAGTTGGAGGCACAATGGCTACCTACTTACATCTGAACACTGAACATGATTTATGTAAAACTATGTTTTGGATTTTGTTGGGCGCTATTTCTCTTGTAGAAACTAAAGTGCATTACAGTTGCAATTTCTTACTTCATGATAAGACTATCATATATTTCACTATTGCCTATAGACGTAGGCAATATGTTAATAGGCAATGTGTGAAAGTTAATAATTATGTTTTCGGATTACTCAAGTAACTGTTTGTCGAGGAACTCGACTAGTTTCAAGCCATTCTAGAGGCTCATATTCAGTAGCAGCGCGACAGGAATGCTGCTCATGAATATGAGCCTTTAACATGGCTTGAAACTAGTCGAGTTCCTCGACAAACAGTTACGTGATTTAAGCACAAACATGATCATTAATTTTAATAAGTATGTTACCAAAGTTTTAATATGAAAAAGTAGAAGGTATTTAATGTTTTTTTAGTTTGATCCGTTTCTTTGTTTGAGTAACATTGGAATTTTCCACCCTTACTCATGTCAGACTGATCTGATATTTGGTATACATACTTAATCTTGATATAATGTAATTTTCCCTAGAATAGGGCTACCAATCAATATTTGATGTGTATTGATCAAAGATTAAGTCTTATATCTTTACAGAAAAGTCCCAAATACAAATTATTTTAGACCCTATTACCAGATAGATAATCACTAAATCCTAAGAATTTACATCATTCCCATACCACACGTGGACACGCGACTTTATAGAGTTCTCTCAACTCGTAAATAAACCAATCTGCACTCGCCAGAGGCTCTATATTTCATTGAGTTATACCATTACCAATCATTTTGCAATTGAAAACAACATTTAGACGAGAATCAAATTATATATATATAAGTGATGGGAATGACATACATATGAGTTGACACGTTTTAAATGAATAAATGGAGAATTATAAAATGTGGTAAATTGGATTAGGATTCTTGTTTCATTCATCAACAGCTTATATGTGTCACTGCTGAGCAAAGCCTCTTCTCACACGGAGAACCAATCTCAATGTCAATTCAATTTCAATCCAATAAAATCTCAATAATTATCCAATGTCAAAACTAAACAACCCCTATCGTAACTGCTAAAGTAGCATTTAGAGTACGGAATATAAAACCAAACTTAATACCATTTAGTTCATGAAATATCCACGCAATACGGATGCAAACGACGCTAGTGTTATAACTCAAGAGTACGAAATTTCACAATGTCAATGTCGATCGATCGGAATTGGATTCAAGAGTAAGCACCCAGGTTTCCTCACGATGCATTAAGACGAAGTATAGAAGCACAAATCTCATTGACTATATGATTAAATCACATGTTACTTATTCCTGTCTCCACAGGTTGTATTAATATTCATACCATCTCAAAGAAATCCTCTTTAGTTATAATGTATGTAAAAGATTGATATTGAGAGCTCGTTTTCAATTAGTTAATTAAGTTTACGTTTTACTCAGAAACTGTCGGATCCACCAACAACCTCCAACATCCAACATCCTGCATCGTATAGGTTTATCAATGCATTTTACTACACGATATACGATTAGATAGAACGTCATTCAGTCATTCAACGACCGTCAGTTAAATAGGTTGGTAATGAAACCTGATACTCGAAGTGTCGTAATGTAGGTATCTATGAATTACTTTGTTAATTTATTTTATTCATGCTTCATTTATATCTATTATCTATTTTAAGTGTGGGAGATCCATGCTTCGGCACGAATGGGCCGACTCCACCGGAGTGATACCACGGCCTCACAGAAAACTGACGTGAAACAGCGTCGTCATTCGACGACATTCGTCGTGTGAGTAAAGTTACCGGAGGCCCTATTATCCTCTTCCCCAATAGCTCAAATTCCTGTCTTCCTGAATCTACAACAACCCTCAAACTCTAATCCCCAAAAGGCCGGTAACCTGGTGTTTCGAGTGTCCATGAGCGGCACCGATTGCTTACCATCAGGTGATATGTCTGCTCGTTTACCGGCTTATTCCATAAAATAGTAGCAATGTAATATTTGTTTTTTAATCCAAGCCGAAAAGATTCATGAAATAGCGAATACATTTCATACAGTATCATTACTTAAATAAAAGTATACTTTACTTTGTATTTTCATGTATTAACGTAATGTATTATTTGAATTAATTAATTAAAATGACATGCAAATAATATTAAACCATTTACATAAACAAACAAGAAGCTTTCGCTGACAAATAGTGTTGTTACAAGTAATGTTCGTGAGAAAGGATGGAGAGTTCCTATTCTACACTTACTGGGAACCGAACGGCACACTTCAACAGCAGTATAATTATGGTTGTAATTACGGGGACGCTGTATCCGTTGTATGTGACGCTTGAGCTTGACGCTTGTGATGTGAGCATCACTATCTAATATATGATTTCCCTTGAATTTGACGAGAAGAATTCCTAATAACAATTCTTTCATAAGCTACGTTTAAAAAACCGACTTCAATACCCTCTTTTTTTTGAAGTCCGTTAATTAATATATACTAAAACCTACTCCCAAGTTTAACAAACCCGCGGAGCGACGGTGAATGGGATGCCGTCTCCTCCTTTTGCGAAACAGTCATGCTAGCTAAGGAGGAGGCGGGACGCGTGAGGCAGCGAAGCGCTGCCTTCTCGCAACCCAGCCATCGCGAAGAACACACCGGGCGTCGGGGATCACGAGACGATCTCCGGCCACCGTAAGCGCGGGCCTGCGGACGGCGAGCATGGGTGGCTCCCCGTCCGACCAGAAACAGACCCGAGCGTATGGGTTCCGCGCGCGCCTCAAAGAGCCATCATACCACCACAGATGGGGCCCAGCAGGGCCGATGCCGATTCGTAGTCGCGGAGAACCTAACGGGTAACCGGGGCTTCGTCTCGACATGCAGGAGCAGGAACGGGGTGGTTTTTAGTCAGTAAGAGTCTGACGCTCCCTCCCGCCTCACCCAGGCGGGAGCAGTCATTCGATGATTTTCCCCCCTTAAAAAAAAGTGTAACAAACACTTTTATACTTTTAGCAACAAAATCGGTTCAGCCAATCGCGAGATAATCGCGCACATACATACATACAAGTCTAACTGAGAAAATCCTTTCTTTTCGTTTTGTAGTCGATTGAAAAGTGAGTTAAATAAGTTAACTAACGTTCGTAACTCGACCAAAGGAAGGGATGCTCCTAAAATACATACTCACGTTTTTTGGAAGTTATATTGTTAGTAGCAAGTGCTAAATTTAGAACTACAACAACCAACAAGGACTAAAACAAGACTAGAACAATCTCAGAATACATGTCGTTGGAGAATATTGTACCTTATCGAAAAAAACTCAGTCCCAAGAATCGAACAATCATAGTCTTAACCTAGATTGTGAAGCCTATACAACTTTAGAACATTTATAAAAGTAACAGTGTACGATATCCAGCTCCATAATAAGCATAGGAACGCTACTACTATCCACCTGCTTCATTAAAGAATATATAAATATACTAGCGGACCCGACAGACGTTGTCCTGCTTATAATATAATAATAGGTATAGATAAATAACCTAAACATCGACTGCAGCGTCATCTGCCGTGCTGATCTGTGAATCTAAACCATTCCCAGATCCCCTTGAACACACACAAAAAAATCATCAAAATCGGTCTAGTCGTTTGAGAGAAGTTCAGTATATACCTCTATATAAAGATACAACCATAACATTAAGTACTCAACTCCAAACAACTTCAAACACTTAATAACCACTTACCAGACTCCGTATTTCCGACGACTAGTGTTCTTCGTTCGCCAAACGATCATTATTCACAACACAATGACATATATACACAACACAATTGTCACCTTCTGTCCCTCGAGTCGAAGTATACAACGTCACTGCACATAATCTATCAATCTATATTACACTACACACGATCCGAACTGCGATTTTACCTGGAACAAGGATTGGCATAATTAGTATTTACATATAAGAGTAATAAGTATGAAACTAGATGAAGTCCAAAAGAAAGAATAAGAAAAATAGGTGGTAGTTCTGAATATGATATTCACAAATAACCTTACATAAAGACCGTAAATTCAGTTAACACATAATAGTAAGTAAAGTGTGGAAGAGCCATGCTTCAGCATGAATAGGCCGGTTCGACCGGAGCGGTACCACAGCCTCAAAGAAAACCGACGTGAAACAACGCTTGCGTTGTGTTTCGTCGTGTGAGTCAGGTTACCGGAGACGTGGACGCATCCTTATATCTATAGTTACGGTTTTCTTTGATCAGTGATAAAACCGAAGTTCTATATGTGTACTGTCTAGAATAAATTTTTTTGATCAATAAACTAACAATCTACTCGTAAACATTAATACTATTATGAAAGCTATGTTCATAAATTAAATACATACTTGTATACAATTGGTATAGTTATATTTGTTGTTTCAACGAAAACATTTAAGTTTTTCAAGACAATATCTGCAGCGCCTCAAAAGCTACTACCGTTATAGTATATTTTATTTAGCAACTGCAACTACAAACAGTTGTACTGAAACCCTGCCCAATGGTAGTACCTCATTTTCAACCGTTCCACCTTCCATTGTACACACGGCAACACATCAACCTATACAAAACCAGTTTATCCTGGTGTCGCGTCGCATCATCTTTCCGCACATTTAACGTTCAGTTTATACTGGTTATGTAAAGCTCGATGTGTAGCCGTATGTACAAAAATGTTTGAATGGCCCATTGTCAGCCACTTACAACATATTAACATGTTTGGTGCTAATGTTCGTACATTCCCCGGTAATGAGCACGTCATCTTTACAGCATTCCTTTTGAAGACCCATTCGAATATTCTGGAAGCTTGCGATGGGAAAATTGGCCCAAGTAACCTACACAAGTATGTCTTGGTTTTTTAAACCATCGCCCAAATATGTGAGAAAAACGATGTGAACTTTTGTTCGGTTTTCAAATATGGTTGGGTTGGGTCTCTATATTTTGAAGGTTATATGAAAAATTTTAATCCTGGCAAATCCGGGTAAAAAAATATATATGAAAATTTGACTAATAATGTCTACTTATTAATGTGTTGTGACAATTTTTTTGATTTTGATATTTGGCAAGTGGCATAAAGTTCTAACATGATAATATATTATGTATGAATAATCTAAAAGCCAATAAATGCCACTGTAAACAAATCGATACTTTTATCTCGAGTTCTATAATCGATAAAATTTCAACAAAACGAGATACTCTCACGAATTCGGTCAATCGATAATCAATATCAATATATCTTTGTTTACCTTATATCGATTTCTTGAGAATTAGAAAGTAGATTCGATAACTATTGTATTACACAGCTCTAGACGGTACCGCTAACAAAATGTTGATGATTCCTATCTATAAGACTTTTTTGGCAATGTAGGATGAATTAGTCATTTATTTTTAGGTAAATAAAGGCGATTTTTGTTTGAAAATAGATGATATCTGATCATGTGTAAGCGTGGTGAGCGTAATTTTAATGTAAAATAAACTCTGTTGCTGAAGTTATGTAAAGTCGAATGTCCTTTGCACATAACAAAACGTAACGAGCTACCTCGTTCTGTTTATGTTTCTTCAAATGTTTCTGTAGACATTAAATGATGTATAACGTTTCAGCAGGTAAGTCAGTATAAGGTATTGTTTTTATTTATTTCAGTCGATATTATGTAGGAATAAGAAGACCAAAGTAACTGGCGAAATCCAAAATCCTTGACTTTAACAAGTAAATATTACACTACTTACGAAATACATTTTGTAAAACGAACAATAGATTGCAAATGTTGCCATTAATAATTTTTTCATCCACCAGTTGGCGCCACTGTAGTGTATAGCTCACTATCCATCAGTTTACAACGTCTTGCTTGTTGATCTTCGTCGTCCATCTTTATGTAATGGCTAGTCATTTGTCAGTGCTAATTACTGAAGCTGTACCTACTGTTTAATAAATCATGGTACGGTTAGAATTATCTTGCGGTGGACTTGCGATTTGTGACGTAAATTCTAGAAGTCTTGGTTTCGTTGGAGATCGTGTTTCAAGATTTTGGTAGGTAGTACATACCACTTTAATAAGTAAGACTGTTTAATTGTTTAGAGTTAGTAGAAAATCTCATGAACATAATATTTTACCAATCAATTTAAGTGTGGGAGAGCCATGCTTCGGCACGAATGGGCCGGCTCGACCGGAGTGATACCACGGCCTCACAGAAAACCGACGTGAAGCAACGCTTGCATTGTGTTTCGTCGCGTGAGTGAGGTTACCGGAGGCCCAATTTCCCTCCCCTTCCCCAATCTCCCCAATCCCTGAATCCCCAACAATCCCCAAACTCCTAATCCACAAATAGCCGGTAACGCACTTGTAACGCCTCTGGTGTTCCAGGTGTCCATGGGCGACGCCGATTGCTTTCCATCAGGTGATCCGTCTGCTCGTTTACCGGCTTATGCCATAAAAAAAAAAAAATCACTTTATCTATAGAAAGTATTTATACATTATCGACTAAAACATTATACATATTAAAATTTTATTAATTTTATCCTATCATCGAACGACACCCACGTAGAGTCGCAGATAAAACACTCCCTATAAATACATATAATCGATTACCCAAAATCGATTTCGACAACAAACATAAAAGTCTTCAATAACTCGAATCGATAACAGACATAAGACATATCGATATCGAATATTCGAAAAATGGTGTTGTCATCAGTCGGCCGTTGTGTGGAAGAACGCGACCGAGCCGTGTGGAGTCGTGGACGATAACGGGATACACGTGACGACACGGCATGCTGTGACTTACATACGGGATAACACGACTTTTATACCGAGGTGATCAGCAGATTGTCGTATGATGACGACAAAATACCTACATTTGCTCCCACTACTATTCTCCCCGCGGGTATTTTTTTTTATTGCATAAGCCAGTAAACGAGCCGACGGATCACCTGATGGTAAACAATCGGCGTCACCCATGGACACCTGCACCAGAGGCGTTACAAGTGCGTTACCGGCCTTTTGGGGAATAGGAGTTTGAGGATCGTTGGGGATTCAGGAATTGGGAAAGGGGAGGGTAATTGGGCCTCCGGTAACCTCACTTACACAACGAAACACAACGCAAGCGTTGCTTCACGTCGGTTTTCTGTGAGGCAGTGGTATCACTACGGTCGAGCCGGCACATTCGTGCCGGAGCATGGCTCTCCCACATTTTAATAGGGGTATAAAAAAGAACTGCAAGTTTAAAAGGGGCTGGGTAGCAGCGCTCTCTGATTAACCTGAACCGTTGATAAACTTGAAAGCTACGCGTGGATATTGCGGTAAACCCTCTTGTATTTAAAGAGATAGACAAAAAGACACCGTTGAGTAAAAACTTTTAATATTGATAAAACTTTAAAATTATAATAAACCAATATAAAAATGTATAATTGAAAATATTTGTAGTAAGGTAGGTATTTTATCAAATCCAAAACTGCTAATACAATCACTTAACAGTCTCTAATAAGGTTTATTTTAAATAAAACTATAATGCGGTATGCAAACGGTGAATGTATTACCGTGACACCCTGAAATGCATTACTAAGGTAAGTCATAATCCATTAAAATGTCTGCCTCGCTGAAGGTGATAGGTACATGTAAATTTTCCGCCGACCGACTCCATTAGAGAAAACGAGCGTATACTACAAAATATTTTTATTTATATTAACTGGCATAACGACCACCGAGACTTGAGCATACAGTAATCAACGGTATACTACGCCCCAGTCCCCAATATCTTACCGTGAAATATATTCATACGTTTCACACAGATTCTTACAAACTAACACACAAAAACGACCCCTAAACACACGGCTATAAAGACCAAAATACTCTACGCTTTAAATTTTTATCATGTTACTAGAATTTCTCCGTACAACCACTCTTAATAGACTTCTTGCTAATTTATGATTTGCGCTTGATTTCCCGTGTAATTTATTTATTTCATAAATCTCGTAAAATGTGGATATTTTATTGGATTATTACGTTTTCAATGGCTGTTAATAAAGATAAGCTAAGTTTTCTATACATATTAATTGAATAATATATCTTTTATGAGCGTTGACTCTGAATTGAATCTCTGTTAATCTTAATGCTAGAATATCTTCCAGTTACTAGAAACTAAGGTTTCAAATTATCCGGGTATTTGATTCCTTTCAGTATATCATCATTTCTCAATAGCTACGACATTAAATTACGTATTCATAAAACCTATTATTAGTACATTTCCACGAAACTGTAGTATCATAATAGCTTTAAGTGTTGCTCCGAGAGATATGTCAATTCAAAGCGTGGCTTTAGATTTTCATCGTTTCAAAATATTTACAAGCATATCCTTTTTAGGTATATATCTATAAATCTTCAATAACTATAGAATTAATATAAAATATTTATTACCTTCCATTCCAAAACCTCGATGACCATAAATAAATAAACCACAGCAATCTCTTGTTCCAATTTGTATGAAACTCCCACATAGTACAAACAACAACACATTGAACCATACACAACCAGTTTAACATAGTCTAGCTTTGTGTCAGCTTCCACGCATTCAAAGATCAGTATATACTGGTTATGCATAGCGTCAAACACACAGCTTTCTAGTGTGTAGCTCCATCATTAAATGCCGGCTAGTCATTGTCAGAAATGATGTGGTTACGAAGGACAAGAAACGCTGTCATAAAATGATATTGAAGTCTACTTCAGAACATAAGACCCGACTGATTGTCATGCGCGGTTTCACTGTACGTTTTCTAGATACGGCTCTTGTGGATTTACTTTTTTTTTATGGCATAAGCCGGTAAACGAGCAGACAGATCACCTGATGGTAAGCAATCGGCGTCGCCCATGGACACCTGGAACACCAGAGGCGTTAC